CGGGGCCTCCTCGCGCAGCCGGGCCTCCTCTCGCAACCGCTCCTCGCCCCGCGGCCGGGCCTCCTCTCGCAGTCGGACTTCGCCCCGCAGGCGGCGCAGCTTGTTACGGTAGACGTCCCGAGTGGTATCAGTGATAGGTCCTGGTTGGAAGCCCAGGGCCTGCAGCTCCCGCCGCAGCTCCAGGTCCGACAGGCCGGCCATGGCCAGGACACCGCCCCCTGCTCACCCCCGGCATGCACCGTACCCGGAACTGCTCTCGCCAGCAGCCGGGCGAAGCGGGCGGGGCCCTACCCCATGATTGGGAGGTCATCCGTGGTCGCCATGTTGAGAAGGTCTGAGCCCAGCCGATGGGCCGCCATGATGAGGAGGTCAGGCTCGGCTATTACGGCCGCCATGTTGGGGAGGTCGGAGGGTGGGGGGTTGTAGTTGTTTTCTTCCTTTTCCTTTTCCTCTCCTTGCCCAGTTCTTTCTCCTTTCCCGTAAGACTAAGCAGTGTTTATTTCTAATTCCTCCGCCTCTTGCGCAGTCTCTGACACGTGATAGGCACCAAATAAGGTCATATTGACTTAATGGATGAATTGCTTAAGGGTGAAAGGCGACCTATTGCCAGAGTGGGGTTACGGATTCTTTGCCTCTCTCTGTACTTGAGGACCGATGTTGATCCTTTCCGCGCTCAAGAAAGGGCTTCGTTTGGGGCGTGGAGTAGACCCCAGGCATGCTCAGAGAGCTCACCTGATTTCAGGTCTTGGATGGCAGGCTTGTTTTCCTGGCGTTCACTCGTGGACATTAAGCACCAAGGGAGTGCAGGCCCTATCCCCGCCAAACGCAGGCCTGCAGGGAGCTCTTGCTAGACAGAACACCTCATCGCATCCTCGGAGAGGGCAGAAAAGCCAAATGCCTTTGAGCTCCGAGTGGGCAGTTCAGACTTCTGGGAGGAGGCTGTGTGTGGCTGGATGGTGGGATTTTCATGAGAGCTGGGTAGGTGATGGTTGAGGATTCTCGAATCCCAGCTCCACCACTCTTAGATGTGCGATCATATCCAATTAACATTGCTAGCCTGTTGGTTAGTAAACCTCATAGACTTTTGGGAGGATTAGAAGAGGTTATTTATATAAAGTGCTTAGGACAGTGCCTGATACGTACTCCTAAGTGTTTATACTTAACCCATATCTCTGCAGCAGCATTGCTGTGTAGAACCTCCCACAGGGCACCGTCGGTGTTTGATTACTTGACAGCTCTCAGTGAGAAAGCCCTAAAGGAAGCTAGGGAGTAGTGGCAAATGGAAATAGAGCTATGGTTCATATGGTCTTCCTTCCATCTCTCTCTACCTCTTTGCATTCCTTACACATCCCTCATCAACTGCCTATCCCATTTATCACAGGTCTCCAGGGTTCCGTTTCTACCCCTCCAATTCAGTTCTCCCCTCCCCACCTCCTGTACAGTCCTATCACCCACCTCCCACCTTGTCCCCTGTCCCAGTCAGTGAGCAAGGCCCCTCTGCCAGTGGTTTTTTTTTCCTGCCACTTATTCTTCCACAGGGGTATTCAACACTGACCACAATTGCTGGGAAAATTACAGCCTCTGCTTGGTCAGGTTTCCATTGTTAGTCTCCCCATCTCCCCGACTTAGCTGCTCCCATGTGGTGCGATTTCTCTCACCAAGTGTTGTTTTCCTTTTCTCTGACTGTGTTTGCACGGAATGCCATGAATTTGATATAGTGATTGCCTAACACATATACCACATAATAGTATTTTATTTCTTTCTGAAGCACTGTTTGCATGACAAATGAGTTGGTAACATTTGTGCAACTCCTTGCAGCTGTGCAGTTCAATATATAAAGAATGAGCCTTTCTGCATCAATACTGGCCCTGTGTATTCTAAGAGGGCTTGAAACTGATGCTTAAACAAAGTTAAAGTCACAGCGTTTTGCAGAGTTACGGTTTGTTTCATCACAATGGATCTCAGGGCGATTTAAAAATATGTACTGAACTGGAGCCACCTGAGTGGTGGTCCCCAGTGTGGGCTTTGTCAGTTTGTCAGCCTTCTTTGTATTTGGGGATGCTGCTGCTGCTCCACATACCTAGGGCCAAATGACAACACATTCTCATCCCTTCCTTTGTCTTCCTTCTGGCCTATAACCCATCATGTTTGCAGTGGCCTTTCGCCCCGCATCCCGTCCCCATGGTCCACCCTTCTGCCTCCACGATGGTTTCTGGCTGTCCCTCATTGTCTGC